AAAAAAAAAAAGAACAAAATTATTTTTAATACTACTAAAAGTTGAATTTAAACCCTCTTAAATTTAAAGAAAAATCATAATACCAAACCTAACAAAATTTTATGTTTTTTTTTAACATTTACATTTTATTTTTTAGATAGAAAAAGGATATTTTTTTACAAATTTTTTCATCATTAATCACTCTTTTTTTTATTTTCTTTTAAGGTTTTTATTTTAAATTTTATGTTTTATTCTTAGAATACACATTTGTTAAAATTTTCACCCTTTATTTTAAACAAAAAAATATATTAGGTGGTATAATTTTCTTAATTCAAAGGTAAAAATATTTGAGAGTTTAGTCATTCATTAAATAGTATTTGGTTTAGTAGATTGATTTTTGTTTTAAGTGTAAGAGGTCTTGAGTTCATTTTTTGTTGCTTCAAATTTTAAAGATTGATAATTTATATCTTATATTTTATTAATCAAAAAAATAAAATTTCTAGCAAAAAAAAATAAATTAATTAAACTATCCTGTGCCACACTACTTTGCCGCATGTTTTATGTTAGTAACTCATTTAACTTGGAACTATTTTTAGAGGATATAATTATGATTACCATTAAATTTGTTAAGACTATTAAAATTGTTAAATTTTTATCTTAATTTGATTATTAAAAATAGTTCATAATTGATGAAATAGTTAATATTTATTATTTAACAAATTGGAATCAATTTACAAACAAATATTTTCAAATATTATAATCAACTATTTAAAGAAAAAATAATAAATTGATAAAATTACAATTAAAATTGGTTTTCTAAACAAAATCTTTGGTGACAATAACCAATTAGACCTTTTTAGAACACAAGTGCTAACATTTTTATCATAATTAATTATACATTTTTATCATAATTAGATTATAATTAAGTGAAAGTCAGCAATTCCCTTGTTGAAATGAAATTATCCAAAGAGTCAATTTAATCTGTGTAATAGTACACCTAATTTAAAATAATAAATTTAATTAAAAAGAAAAAAGAGAAAATATTGCAACAAAAATGCAGTAACTTACCATTATCAAATGAAAGGATTAACAAAAAATTGAGATTAAGGTGGTTAGTGTAGGCAAAACATGCAGATTAGCCCCTCAACTCATCATGTGGTGGCAGATCACCCCTTCAAGTCCATTCACGTGCAAAAGAACCCCTTAACTCGTCCTAGGTGGCAAATCAGCCCCTCTATGTAACATGACGACACTAATCTGTTAAAACATAACGTTTCACTCATCACGTTCCGTTCTGTGTCTGACCTAGATTTTTTTTTCTTAGATGGATGCTTTGTCTTTCATTACATTCTTATCTGATTGCCAGAGAGGATGAGTTTCTGCGGATTCTGAACAGCAGAAATTGAGCCTTTAGCAGCTAGTGAAAGCCCGCCCAAGTTCAGATTTTATTGTCCATAAATACCCAAATTCAGATTAGATCACTGGGCTTAATACCCAAATACCTCCTCTACTTTTCTTCTCAGAAACTATTCCATAACGATTATCTTCTCCCTCAACCTCTCCCTCGCTCTGAAATGGAATCATCGCTACCAGCAGCACAATCACCCAAATCTCCATCGTCTCCGTCCACTACCACTTCCTCCACCGGTAACTGCTACAACTATTGAGGCCCTACCTCCTTTGCGCCACCTCCCCAATCCCCTATCGATTGGCCAGAACTGTCGCCTCCCCCAAACTACAGGGGAATCTAGGCTCTAGCTCTTAATCTGCCTCCTAATAACAACTCCGAAGTGATCATCCTTGCTCCTGTGCCTCAATCCTAAAAGGTCCCATCCATTTCTCTTCCTTTCCACTTCTAATCACCTTCCAAGAAAATCCACTCCCCCATCGACATTCGCCAGTTTCATGAATCGAAAACATGGAAGAACTTCCTTGCTTTGTTGTCGCCCTCTCAGAATCAATTCGCTGCCACAAGATCTCCGATCTATGCCACGAATCCTCCACCGCCACTAAAATCGCCTCTGTCCTCGAAATCTTAATCCATTGGATCAACAAAATTCCTTCGGTTCAACAATCGTCTCACTACGGTAACATCTCCTACAAAACTTGGCACGAGTGGATAGGAATTTCCCGATCTGTTCATTCCTTCTTTTTGTTTTCCGTTATATGGAGATCGCGATTGTGCTGTTTGGATGTAGAAACAAAAGCGAAGGAAGAATACAATCAAAAGTTGCAGGAATTGCAAGCAGAGGTAGCTTCGTGTAATGAATCGCGAGAAAAGCTCCAAAGAAAGGTTAGTAATAAAAGACAAAGCATCCATCTCGGTAAAAAAAAAAATCCAGATTAGATGCAGATGAGGGGATGATGAGCGAAATGTCAAGTTTTAATGGATTAGTGACGTCATGTTACACAGAGGGGCTAATTTGCCACCTAAGACGAGTTAAGGGGTTCTTTTGCGCGTGAACTGACTTGAGGGGGTGATCTGTCACCACACGACGAGTTGAGGGGCTAATCTGCATGTTTTGCCATTTATGACACTAACATATAGAGTTAAATGTTTCATATAAATAGTGATAATTAAGAACTAAAAACTTTTAAATATTAGTATATGTTATAAGGGTAACAACAGAGCTATGCAAAAATATAAAAAGAATGCACTGAAACTTGTTGACGCCTACTAGCAATCACATCTACTGAATAAGGTTTTTAAAATCGAATCGGTCATTGAACCGTTTTTAGGTCTGGTTCCCAACTTGATCGGCTCAATTGGTTAACCAGTGAACCGACCGATCCAAACAACAAGGGAGAATCTGATGAGAGGAGCAAGTGATTTTGTAATTTTATTAAAATTAAGGGTTAAAATCGGTATAAGAAAGGAATGGTGAGGGTGAAATTGAAAAAAATAGAAAGAAGATTGCATGAGAAATTGAACTGAACCGATGGTTTTTTCGGTTCTACTGGTTCCATCGGTTTCATCGATTTTGACTGGTTTTGACATCAAATGGTTTTTTTTATGTAAATCGAACCGTTTTCATTATCGGATATCGATTCGACCGATTCAACCGATTGATCCGGTCTGATTTTAAAAACCTTGCTACTCGACCACCTAAACCTAGTATGGGAGTTCAGTGAACTTGGCGATGTAATATCTCCCAACACTACAATGCTCTGCCCATCCATAATTGATATTTACTCTGCAGATGGATGAAAATTATCCACCTGGATGGTCAAAGTAGTGCCATCGACATCCCCAAGAATCAGAGCCACCCATGTATTATTTAATAGCACCTTATTAGCCCTTTGTTCCGCCAAACTTGCTGTATTACCCTTTCTTTTTCCTTGAGTAAGTTTTTCCATATGCACCGAGGACCCCACCTCACACTCTATTTGTTTCCATTTGCCCCTACCTCCTTTTGCTCCATTTTCGTGCCTTGGTAACTGTTCAATACCATCAAAACCAAGGGCTAAGGGGATCTCCACTAATTGATCACTCATCAAACCTGGCAAACCATCAACATGTTCCATATTCCCTGCCGAAGCCAGTTCTCTTACAGTAGTAGGAAGGGGCTGAACTGTTTCATCTGCAATTTCTCCCACACCAATAGCATTGTGACCTTCCATTTGGCTTGCATTGCTGGTCACGTTATTATTTGCCTCCAGATCCCCAGCAGCATGATCATTATGTCCTTCTACCTGGCTTGCAACATTAGCTATAGTCTCATAATGCTCCTGGTTTCCTGCAATCTTATGCCGGCTAGAGACTGTGTAGTTGCAATAAAGGTTTCATCCAAAAGATCAAGATCATCTGGGCACCATGAGTGTTCCAATTCAGCCTTCAACCATGAGAACAATTTTACCTCCCCATCTTTGATACTGTTGGCTATTTCACAGCTATTGTCTAGGTGGCCTACGCAACCACAGACAAAACATAACTCCGGAAGTCATTCGTATTTGATCCGAAGTATGTTGCGCTCCGTAGCAGAGATTTGAGAAGTTTTAAATCTTCTTAAAGGCTGATTCACATCCAAATCAATTCTAACTCTGACTGCCTTGTGAATCCAATTTGCTCTAGGGACATCAAAGATTCGAACCCAAAAAGGATTTGTAGAAAAATTATACTGCTCCACTGTTAAAAAGGCTTGAAAACGTTTAAGAATAAGTAGTAAATTGCTGAAGTTTCAAGGTCCTCTATGTAGAGCCTTGTTGAGATCCCAATCTCAGTAAATTGAAACAGATAAATTTTTTCGCCAATCTCAGAAATTGTAAAAGGCTTCCTAGGTTACAAGAAACCATCAACGCATCATGCAGCCCATTCATATTGATCTTCTTGCGGGATAGGATCTTCCCCATTAATCTCAGTTTTTCGACCTTGGGTTCATCGAGTTTCCAGATCGAGTGCAAGGGAAGGATACCGTTCTCATCTTCTGAAAGACGGACCCGATTAAGCATAGACCCAATTTCTTCATCTGCCATTCGTATTCACACCCACAACCACCAGCAGAAAGGAGAGTAAATCGTCACCCAGGACCTGATCTGCAGCCTTTTGGATCCAAGTTGCTCTGGTGCCCCTGTTTTAGAGCAGTGCAAACAGAGTAAAAGAGAAAACCTGAGGAAGGGGAATCCGGTATATGTG